CCTTGGGAAGTCTGACTTGGCCACGGTAGTCCACGCTCTGGTTACATCCCGTTTAGACTACTGCAACGCTCTCTATGTGGGGTTGCCTTTGAAGACAGCTCGGAAGCTCCACCTAGTCCAACGCTCGGCAGCCATGATTTTAACAGGAGCGGAGCGCAGGGAGCATACAACCCCCCTGTTGCGCCAACTCCACTGGCTACCGATCTGCTACCGGGCTGAATTCAAAGTGCTGGCGTTGGCCTTTAAAGCCCTAAACGGTTCCGGCCCAAGCTACCTATCTGACCGCATCTCTGCCTATAAACCCACCAGGACTTTGAGATCTTCCGGGGAGACCCTGCTCTCGATCCCGCCTGCTTCTCAAGCTCGGCTGGCGGGGACGAGAGATAGGGCCTTCTCGGTGGTGGCTCCTCGGCTGTGGAACGCCCTTCCTACGGACATTAGACTAGCACCATCTCTAATGGTATTCCGCAAAAAGGTGAAGACCTGGCTGTTTGAGCAGGCGTTCGAATAATTAGTGCAATGATTGGTTAATGAACACTGGAATGGAACAATGGATGACGAATCTGGAACATGTTTTTGATGATGAGACGACAGTGAATGGGTATTGTAGTAATTGTTTATTAATTGTGTAATGTGTTAGGTTGTTAACTGTTTCTATACTGTAGCACTGAATTTTTGCTGTTCGTATTTGTTGTGAACCGCTGTGAGTCGCCTTCGGGCTGAGAACAGCGGTATATAAGTAAGGTAAATAAATAAATAAATAAATATGGGGGGTGATAATCATAACATGTTGGCCATTACGTTCAGCCATAAAGAAATGGAGCTTATACTGGTAAATGTTTACATCCCGCCAGTCACATCCTCTTATTATAGTCCTGATACCTGGGTACAGTTAGAAATTATGGTGGAAGAATTAACAGCATTGTATACGCAAGCAATAATTATTTTACTGGGAGACTTTAATGCTAAATTAGGGCCATCCATTCATGAATTAGCTCATGCCTACTAGAATTGTGTAGACAAGAGGGAAGAAACACCGAAAGAACAACAGAGCCACAAAGGCAACCACTGCGTTTCAGTCACCCTTTTTTATTTGTTATTTTGTACAGAGATATGTGTATAAAAAAGCACCATCTAGATCAGTGTCTGCAGGGCCGGCGTTGCAAAGTCCGAAGGAACATGGAAAGCGACGGGGAAGCCGCTCTTTCCTCTCTTGCCCTGCTCTTCCCCATCAACTCCATTGCCTTCTCAATGTCCCACTTCCTCTCTTCCTCTTCCTCCTTTCATCCTCGGTTCGCTTCAATGGATTGAAAAGATACTTCACAGTGTGAATCTCTCTCAAAATCTCTTATCAGGCTCCGATTTCGCAGCTAGATTTGGGAGCCTTGCCGCCAGCCTTTTGCCAGAAAGAAGCGTATTTTTAGACAGATAGATATGTTGTTCAATATCCCAAAGGATCCAAAGTCATCCCAAGGAAGGAGAAGAATTCCTGGAGAAGGCGGCTTTGGGGGAGTTGGATTCCGTCCTTGTCGGATAATGAGTCCCAAGGGCTTACCCCATGCCTCCTCCTGGGTGTGCCCCAAAGCCCTTGTGCCAGTCAGACGTGGCAGACGCCGCCAAAGTGGTTCTGCTGGGGACCCGACTCCCGGACAATCTCCACCACGTGGTTCTTGGGGAGGCCCAGCGAAGGGACCACCACGGGGGGCTTCTTGGCCTTGCGGGCCTTGGCAGGAGGAAGGAAGGAAGAAGGGAGGGAGGGAGATAGAGAGAAGAAAGGATGGGGGAGGGAAGGAAGGGAGAGAGGAAGGAAGGAGGAAGGGAAGGAGGAAAGGCAGAAGGAAGGATGGGGAGGGAAGGGAGGGAGAGAGGAAGGAAGGAAAGAGGAAAGGGAGGGAGGAAGGAAGGGAAAGGAAGATAAAAGGGAGGAAGGGAAAGGACAGAAATGAAGGAAGGGAAAGAAAAGGAGGAAGGTAAACAGGAAGGAAGGGGGGAAGGAAGAGAGGAGGGAGGAAAGAAGGAAGGATGAAAGGAGGGAAGGCAGGAAGAAAGGGAAGAAAAAACAGGAAGGGAGAAAGTGAAGGATGAAGGGAGGAAATGAGGAAGGAGGGAGGAAGAAAGGGAGGAAAGGACAGGAAGGGAGGGAGGAGGAAGGAAGAGAAAGAGGAAGGAAGGAAGGAAGGGAGGAAGGACAAAAAGAGGAAGGAAAAGAAGGAAGGAAGGAAGGAGAGAGGAAGAGGAAGGAAGGAAGGAAGGAAGGAAGGAAGGAAGGAGACAGAAGGAAGAAAGAAAGGAAGGAAAGAGAAGAAGAAATGAAGGAAGGAAAGAAAAGAGGGAGGAAGAAGAAGAAAGAGGAAGGAAAGGAAGGAGGGGAAGGAAGAGAGGGAGGAAAGAAGGAAGGATGAAAGTACAGGATGGAAGGATGAAAGGAGGGAAGGCAGGAAGAAAGGGAAGAAAAAACAGGAAGGGAGAAAGTGAAGGATGAAGGGAGGAAATGAGGAAGGAGGGAGGAAGAAAGGGAGGAAAGGACAGGAAGGGGGGAGGAGAGGAAGAGAAAGAGGAAGGAAGGAAGGAAGGAAGAGAAGGGAGGGAAAAGAGGAAGGAAAGAAGGAAGGAGAGAGAAGAAGAAAAGGAAGGAAGAGAAAGACAGAAATGAAGGCAAGGAAAAGAGAGAGAGAGAGAGAGAGAGAGAGAGAGAGAGAAGAGACAGGCAGTGAGATAAATCTGCTGCGGATCTTGACCTCCCCGCTGGCCTCCTCCTCCTCCCCCTCCTCCTGGACGGGCCCTACTTTGGGGGCCACGGTGGCAAAATCCTCTCGGCAGATGTGTGCCATGATGCCAGCTGCCAACGCGTCACCAAGTACATTGGTCATAGTCCGGAGACGGTCCCTGCCGAGAAAGAGAGAGGGAAAGGGAGGGGTGAGACCCACGCTTCTTCGGAGACTCTGTGGGTTTCACAGGTCAACCATCCTCTTAAGACCATCACATTAATATTATTAGTGTGTTGTTGTGAGTTTTCCAGACTGTGGCCTGGTTCCAGAAGCATTCTCTCCTGACGTTTCACCCACATCTCTGGCAGGCATCCTCAGAGGTTGTGAGGTCTGTTGGAAACTAGGAAAAATGGGGTTAATATATCTGTGGAATAATGTCCAGGGTGGGAGAAAGAACTCTTGTCTGTTGGAGGTAGGTGTGAATGGGAGCTAATCACCTCCCAACAAAGAATTCCCCTAGGCAGTAAGAAGCCAGACCTTGAAAACTGCAATGCCATTAAATGTGAATCAAGGTGGCCAATTGCAACATTTACACTTGCCTCAAGCAGACAAGAGTTCTTTCTCCCACCCTGGACATCATTCCACAGATACATAAACCTCTCTTGCCTAGTTTCCAACAGTCCTCACAACCTCTGAGGATCCTGCCATAGATGTGGAAACGTCAGGAGCAAATGCTTCTGGAACATGGCCATACAGCCTGGAAAACACACGGCAACCCAGTTATTCTGGCCATGAAAGCCTTCAACAATAGAGTATTATTATTATTATGTTTATTTATACTCCATTTTTTCTCTCAAAGCGGAAGGAGAATGAAAAAAGGAAGGAAGAAAGGAAGGAAGGAGAGTGACTCACAAGGCCCAGTCAACGGCGATGATGAGGGTAATGTCTTCAGTGGGCAGTCCGACCGAGGTCAAGACGATGACCATGGTGACCAGGCCCGACTGGGGGATGCCGGCCGCCCCAATGCTGGCAGCCGTGGCTGTGATGCTGTGGGAGCAAAAGGTCAAGCTTTGAAAAGGTAGACAAGGCTGTATTCAAATAACTACAACCCTAGAGGAAAGTCAGGGCCTAGCTATTCAACAATCTAGCTCTTTGAAGCAGACATCTTGCCTCTCTCCATGCTCACAGGAGGAGGACTTGACATGTGCTCAGAAAAAGGGGTGTGTCTCTGAGAAGTGTCAGGAGATAGGGGGAGAGATGAGAAGAATGTGAATAAAAAGGGGTGTGCCCTTAAAAAGTGTCAGGATAGGAGGAAAGAAGGGAGAGGGATTTGCATAAAAAGTGTGTGTGTTTTTAAGAAGTGTAGGGATAGGAGGGAACTGAGGAGTATTTGCATAAAAAGGGCCGTGTCCCCTAGAAGTGTAGGGATAGGAGGGAATAGAAGGGAATTTGCATTAAAAGGGGTGTGTCCTTAAGAAGTGTAGGGATAGGAGGGAACAGAGAAGGATTTGCATAAAAGGGGCGTGACTCCAAGTGTAGGGATAGGAGGGAATAGAAGGGAATTTGCATTAAAAGGGGTGTGTCCTTAAGAAGTGTAGGGATAGGAGGGAACAGAGAAGGATTTGCATAAAAGGGGCGTGACTCCAAGTGTAGGGATAGGAGGGAATAGAAGGGAATTTGCATTAAAAGGGGTGTGTCCTTAAGAAGTGTAGGGATAGGAGGGAACAGAGAAGGATTTGCATAAAAGGGGCGTGACTCCAAGTGTAGGGATAGGAGGGAATAGAAGGGAATTTGCATTAAAAGGGGTGTGTCCTTAAGAAGTGTAGGGATAGGAGGGAACAGAGAAGGATTTGCATAAAAGGGGCGTGACTCCAAGTGTAGGGATAGGAGGGAATAGAAGGGAATTTGCATTAAAAGGGGTGTGTCCTTAAGAAGTGTAGGGATAGGAGGGAACAGAGAAGGATTTGCATAAAAGGGGCGTGACTCCAAGTGTAGGGATAGGAGGGAATAGAAGGGAATTTGCATTAAAAGGGGTGTGTCCTTAAGAAGTGTAGGGATAGGAGGGAACAGAGAAGGATTTGCATAAAAGGGGCGTGACTCCAAGTGTAGGGATAGGAGGGAATAGAAGGGAATTTGCATTAAAAGGGGTGTGTCCTTAAGTGTCGGGATAGGAGGGAACAGAGAAGGATTTGCATAAAAGGGGTGTGTCCTTAAGCAGTGTAGGGATAGGAGGGAACAGAGAAGGATTTGCATAAAAGGGGCGTGACTCCAAGTGTAGGGATAGGAGGGAATAGAAGGGAATTTGCATTAAAAGGGGTGTGTCCTTAAGAAGTGTAGGGATAGGAGGGAACAGAGAAGGATTTGCATAAAAGGGGCGTGACTCCAAGTGTAGGTATAGGAGGGAATAGAAGGGAATTTGCATAAAAGGGGTGTGTCCTTAAGAAGTGTAGGGATAGGAGGGAACAGAGAAGGATTTGCATAAAAGGGGTGTGTCCTTTATTAATAATATTATAAAAATAATATGAAAAAATAAGGCTTTGCCCTTCCAACTCTTTCCTCTGACTATCTATGCTCTTGATGAGGACGATAAACTGGCGCAGGATGTGGTTGGGGTTCCAACATTTGCAACAACTCTGTACCTGATGGTGATGATCTGCCCCAAGTCCAGGTCATATTCGTTGACTTGTGCAATGAAAATGGCGGCCACAGCCTCATAAAGGGCGGTCCCGTCCATGTTGATGGTGGCACCGACAGGGAGGACAAAGCGGGCTATGCGCCGGTCAATCCCGTTGTTCTCTAGAAGACACTTGAGGGTGATGGGAAGGGTGGCCGAGCTGCGAGGGGCAGAAGATTAAATTGAATTAATTTTGATTTTAGCTATCTCACAGACTTACAGGCGACATCTTGCGTTTCTCCATGCTCACAGGAGCAGAACACAGAGGCAGGTTTAGCAGTACAGAAGCTTCCATTGCCAGCAGTAGAGCCATTGAGGCCCAGCCATTTACGGCCATTTAAAAGGCTTAAAAGAGGCTAGAGAGGGATTTGAATAAAAGGGTGTGTGTCCCTGAGAAGTATCAGGAGATAGGAGAAAACAAAGAGGGATTTGAATAAAAAGGGGCGTGTCCTTGACAAGTGTCAGGGATAGGAGAGGGATTTGCATTAAAGGGGGTGTGTCCCTGAAGAGTGCCAGGGGATAGGAGGGGAGAAGAGGTGCATTTGCATAAAAGGGGGTGTGTCACTGAGAAGTGTCAGGAGAGAGGAGAGGGATTTGAATAAAAGGGGGCGTGTCTCAGAGAAGTGTAGGGGATAGGAGGAGGAAAGAGGGAGGGTTTGAATTAAAATTAATAAAATATTTTGAGAGCCGTTCAGCAGTGGAACTCTCTGCCCCGGAGTGTGGTGGAGGCTCCTTCTTTGGAAGCTTTTAAACAGGGGCTGGATGGCCATCTGTCAGGGGTGCTTTGAATGCAATATTCCTGCTTCTTGGCAGGGGGTTGGACTGGATAGCCCATGAGGTCTCTTCCAACTCTTTGATTCTATGATTCTATGATTCTATAATCATCATACTAATAGAAAACAATAATAAAATAGAATCATAATATTAAAAATAATATAATAATATACCAGCTGTTTAGGACTTGTGGGCATAACCGGTAATAATAATAATAATATATAGTAATATTTAAAAATAATATAATAAAAATATTAAAGAATAATATACAATAATAATATATCATGATAAAATACAATAACAATATTGAAAATAATATAATAAAAAATTAATTAAAAATAATATAATAATCTATTCTTTCCTTCATTTATTTTTCTCTCTATTGTTCATTCTTTCCTTTATCTAGCGCCCCATATAAAAAGGGCCATTCTGTCACCTTCACATATTAAATTGATTTATATTTATTTACATCTATCTAACTAGAAAATGTGTATGTGGCGGAGGTGTCCACTCACACAGGCTCCGGCCTCCAGGTTATATTAAATTGTTTTGAATTGTTTTTAAATTGTGTTAGATTTTAGCCGCTCTTGTAAGCCGCTCCGAGCCCCAGGGGAGTGGCGGCATATAAGTTCAAATAATAAATAAATAAATAAAATAGCGGGTGCCATGAACATGTCTCCCAACCCCTGCCAAACACCATACTGCCCACCACCCAAGGGAAGGCTTTAATTCAGGGACAATTTCAATGTTCTGTTTTTCCTCCAGAATATACAGCCTAGGGTTCCTTACTCTTTCCATTGCTGTGGAATTTGCATGACTGTGCCCAGTGCCTTTCCCTTAACCCTTTCCTACGACATATAGCAAACATGAATTGATCAGCAACTGAACAAGAGGTCTGGGGGAAATTGACCTTGATTTATAGAAGTTGTATTTCACCAACATCCAGAGAGCACTATGAACCTAACCAACGATGGATCTGGATCACACTTGCCATGGATGATGGGACTTGCAGTACCATCACTCACTTTCAGAGACCACTGCAACCCCCACGAATTACAGACCTGGACCACACTTGGCACACAGGCCCCCCTGCATGACCCACGATATGTCCTGGTGCGCTTTGGAAGAAGATGGACATTGGATGATGGAATTTGCAGTACCTTCGTCAACACCAAGAGACTATTGTGACTCTCATGAATGACAGACCTGGACCAAACTTAGAACACAGACCCCCCCCCCCCCCAAATAACGCACTATATGTCCTGGAGCACTTTGGGGGAGGATGGATCACGGATGATGCGATTTGCAGTACTTCCAATGCAACCCCTACAAATGATGGACCTGGACCAAACTTGGCACACAGCCCACCCCCCGTGACCCACTATACGATCTGATGCACTTTGGGGGAAAGATAGATCACGGATGATGGGATTTACAGAACCTTCATCCACATCCAGAGACTACTGTGACCCCCACAAATGACAGGCCTGGACCAAAATTGCCACACAGACACTCAATGATGTACTTTACATCCTGGTGAGTTTTTGGAGAGGATGGACCATGGATGATGGAAATTGCAGTATCTTCACTCACTTCAAGAAACCACTGTGACCTGAACGAACGATGCACCTGGACCAAATTTGGCATACTGACTTCCTATGGCGCACTTTGTCCTGGTCTGCTTTGGGGGAGGATGGATCACAGACAATTGGATTTGCAGTACCTTCATCCACTTCTACAGATCACTGCAACCCTCACAAATGACAGGACTGGACCAAGCTTGGGACACAGAACCCTGGTGACCAACAGAACATATTGGAGGTGTTTGTGGGGGGACTGATGTGGGAGTTGTAGTTCACCCTGGACCCAGAGCACTCTGAACCCCACCAATGACGAATCTGGACCAAATATGGCACCCAGAACTCTGGTGACCAACAGAACATACTGGAAGGGTTGGGAAGGGAATGACCCACCCATGTGGGAGTTATAGTTCACCTTGCATCCAGAGCACTCTGAACCCCTTCAATAACAGATCTGGACCAAACTTGGAACAGACCCAACATGCCCAACTCTGAATACAGGCAGAGTTTGGGGGTGACTGCCCTGGGAATCTGGGAATTGTAGTTCACCTGCATGCAGAGAAATTGTGACCCCCACCAACAATGGACCAGGACCAAACTTGGTACAGAGAAGCCCCATAACAAATTGAGCATACTGCTAGGGTTTGTGGAAATTGACCTTGATCTTGGGAGTTGTAGTTCACCTGCATCCAGAGGGCACTCAACCCAGCCAACGTTGGATCTGGACCAAACTTGGCACACAGATGCAACATGGAGGATTGACCCACGATTCTGGGAATTGTAGTTCACCCACATCCTTATGCATTTCCTAATGGGAGCACTAATAAAAAAACCAAATCAAAGACTATTAGGCTTTTTCCTAATAGTATTACTAATTAACTAAATGATATTACCTAATACCCCAAAACAAACAATACTGTCTTCAAATAACCTGGGCACCGTTGGGTATCCAAGCTAGTATTATTATAATTATTATAAAATAATATAATAAGAGTGTTATTATTATTATAATATAAAAATTATAATATTAAAATAATACAATATTATAAAAATAATATAATAGTAAAAGCATAAAATGAATAAAATATAATAATAATATTAAATTACTATTTATTTATTTATTTATTTATTATTTGAAACATTTATATTACGCCCTTCTCACCATGGGTTGCAGTGGTCTCAGGCAGTGAGTGAAGGTATTGTAAGTCCCATTGTCCATGGTCCATCCTCCTCCAAACCGCAACAGGATATAGAGTGGGTCATGGGGGCTCTGTGTGCCAAATTTGGTCCTGATCCATCATTGGTTTGGGTCGCAGTGGTCTCAGAAACTGAATAATGTACTGCAAGTCCCATCATCCATTCTCCTCCAAAATGCACTACAATGTAGAGTGGGTCATGGGGGCTATGTGTCTCAAGTTTGGTCCTGATCCCTCATTGTTGAGAGTCGCAATGGTCTCAGAAAGTGAGCAAAGTCCATCCTCCCCAAACCATACCAGGACGTAAAGCTGCAACTGATCCAAAGATCGGCAGCCAGGTTACTAACTGGAACTCCATACTGGGAGAGATCAACTCCCATGTTATGGCAGCTCCACTGGCTGCCCCTCTGCTTCCGAGCTATTTATTTAGTTATTATTTAAAGCATGAATATTCCACCCTTCTCACCCCGAAGGGGACTCAATGCAGAGCACAACATATAATGGCAAAAATTCAATGCCAGGACATAAATACACATACATAAACATTAAAATCATTTCTCTCAACATTAAAGTCCGCATAGAATCTGGTAGCATGGTGAGGTTTCTTATTGCTGCCTTATTGCGCTGTCCCAAAAGCTTGGTTCCACAGCCAAGTTTTTACCAACCTTCTGAAGGACAGGAGGGAGGGGGCTGATATAATTTCAGCAGAAAGGGAGTTCCATAACCAAGGGGCAATAACTGAGAAGGCCCTCTCTCTCATCCCCACCAATTGGGCCTGTGAGAGTGGTGGGACGGAGAGCAGGGCTTCCCCAGAGGATCTTAATTTCCTAGGTGGTTCATAGGGAGGGATACGTTCAGACAGGTAAATTGGGCCGGAACCGTTTAGGGCTTTATAGACCAAAGCCAGCACTTTAAATTGCGCTCAGTAGCAAACTGGCAATTAAAAAGAATAAAATAGTATTATAAAAACAATATAATAAAATATACAAATAATTTAAAATATGAAGAGTATTAAAATAATAGAATAAAATATATAATATAATAATATTAAAAGTAATACAGTAATAATATAAAATAATAAGGCAAGAGAGATTTGCATGGAAGGGGCATATCCCTGAGGAGAGAAGATGGGGATTTGCATAAAAGTGGGCATGTCCAACCTGGAGGAGGTGGCCAGGGCGATAAGCAGGGCCTGGAGGATGCCGCGGATGAAGGCGAAGGGGTTCTTCCGGGTGATGAGGGCGAAGAGGAGGGGCAAAAAGCAGAGGCTGTGGATGGCCAGCCCAGTGACCACGGTTATGGCGTAGAGGCCCAGCTTCTTCCCCACTATGTAGGGGTCCTCCATCTCCAGGATCTTCCCTGCGATCAGGAAGACAATACCGAAGGGGAAGTACCACACGGCCATGGAGACGATCTTCATCACAGCTTCGTTCAGGCATTGGCACACGTTCACCAGCGGCGCCCCGCGCTCCCCCATCTTGCCCAGCAGGAAACCTGCCGCAGAGAGACAGGCCATGTTACAGGCACCCAGCATAATAATAATAATAATAATAATAATAATAATAATAATAATAATAATAATGTAATATAATTTATTTATTTGTCGTGTCAGGGCAGCCAGTCCATTATATTACATTTCTAACAGAACAAAGCAAACAAACAGAAAAATACACAACTTGTGGGTTTGGTAGCTGGTTAAATGTCCTTTGACCAGTATCTGGCCACTTGGAGAAGCGACCAGCATGTAATATAATAATAATATAGTAGAGTTATAGGCATTCGACTTATGAATGACCCACAGTTAAGAATGGGGCTGAGACAGCAGGATGAGAAAGGAATGTATAATAATAATAACAATAATAATAATAATAATAATAACAATAACTGATGACAATCCACTACTCATTACACCCGCGTAGTGATGTCAACAAACTTTACCTGCCCAGAGAATTAGGAGGCAAAGGGCTTCTGAAAGTAAAACAAGCGGTCAAAGAAGAGAAACACTGGCAGATTATGTGAAAGACAGTCAAGAACCAACATTGATGGAAGTCAATAGTCGAAAACTGCTTCAAAGTGCAAAAGACAAAGAGGGAATACCATAAAAATACAATGCAGAGCAGAAGAGAAAACTGGCCAAAGAAGGCTCTCCATGGATAGTTCCTGGGAAAAATTGAAACTTCATGATCAAGTTAAAAAGCCAAGTATGGATCATTGATGTTGCAATCCCAGGTGACAGCAGGATTGAGGAGAAACAACTGGAAAAGCTGACACGATACGAGGATTTAAAGATCAAACTGCAAAGACTCTGGAACACGCCAGTCAAGGGGGTTCCAGAGGTGATCGCCACACTGTGTCCAGTGCCTAAAGACCGTGGCCTGGACTTAAACACAATCGGCGCAGACAAAATTACCATTGTCAGCTGCAAAAGGCCACCCTACTTATAGTAATATAGAATAATAATATAGCAATATAATAACATAGTAATATAAAATAATAATATAACAATAATATAGTAATATAGAATAAGATAGTACTATATAATAAATAATAATATAGCAATATATAATAATATAGTAATCTGTAATAACAATATAATGATGTTATATAATAACAATATACTAGTATATAATAACAATAATAATAAAATATTATTAATGTATTAGCTACTAAAGTATGGAGCCCTCGGTGGCGCAGTGGGTTAAACCCCTGTGCTGGCAGGACTGAAGACCGACAGGTCGCAGGTTCGAATCCGGGGAGAGGCGGATGAGCTCCCTCTATCAGCTCCAGCTCCTCATGCAGGGACATGAGAGAAGCCTCCCACAAGGATGATAAAAACATCAAATCATCCAGGCATCCCCTGGGCAACGTCCTTGCAGACGGCCAATTCTCTCACACCAGGAGTCACTCCTGACACGACAAAAAAAAAAAAAAAAAAAAAAAGCAAGCTACTAAAGTTAAAACACAATAATAATAATAATAATAATAATAATAATAATAATAATTTTCATGTATTACACGCCTCTACATAAACACTCCTATAAGATGTGCACATGTGAGCCTGGACCTGGTCTTATTAGGGGGAAAAGGATGCATAGGGACAGGCTAAAGGGGGAAAACGATGATAGTAATAGTAATAATAGTAATAACAATAATGCACATATGAAAGCACAGTTACAAGGCAACCACTGCCTTTTTCTCGGCCTGGTCTTATTTGGGGGAGGGGGAATACATAGGGTCAGGCTACAGTGGAAACACAATAATAATAATACTGCAAAGGAATGCAAAGAATCTGCTTTGATTGAAGTCAATCATCGGAAACTTCTCAAGCACAGGAGACAATGAATCAGTACAAGAAAACTGCACTACAAAGCAGAGCTGACAGCTGGCACAACAAAGCATTGCATGGGCAGTTCCTTGACAAAATTGAAGGAAAAGATGACAAGGAGAACACCTGGCGATGGCTCATGAGTGGAACACTGAAGAAGGAGACAGAAGGGCTGAGCAAGCCATCAGAACAAATGCCTTCAAGGCCAGGATTGAAAAATCAACTGATGCCCCAAAATGCAGACTGTGAAAGGAAGCTGATGAAACTATTGATCATATCCTCAGCTGCTGCAAGAAAATCGCACAGACAGACTACAGAGGCACAACTCTGTGGCCCAAATGATTCATTGGAACGTATGTCACAAGTACCACCTGCCAGCAGTAAAGAACTGGTAAAGGGATCATAAACCTGCAAAGGTAGTGGAAAATAAATAAGCAAAAATACTGTGGGACTTTTGAATCCAGACTGACAAAGTTTTGGAACACAATACACCAGACATCACGGCTGTGGAAAAAAAAGTTTGGATTATTGATGTCGCCATACCAGGTGACAGTCGAACTGACGAAAAACAAACAAACAAAAAAACCTCAGCCGTTATCAAGACCTCAAAATTGAACTGCAAAGGCTCTGGCATAAACCAGTACAAGTGGTCCCAGTGGTAATCACACAGTCCTAAATGCTTGGGAAGTGTTCGACTTGTGATTTTTTACAGAAGAATGGCCTGCCTCAGGGGAGCGTGCTTGCTCCATCCATGTTCAGCATCTACACAAATGACCAGCCACTGCCAGAAGGGACAGAGAATTTCATCTATGCTGACGATTGTGCCATCACCGCTCAAGCAGGGAGCTTTGAGATGGTTGAACAGAAGCTCTCCGAAGCTCTAGGTGCCCTTACCGCCTATTACAGGGAAAACCAGCTGATCCCTAACCCATCTAAAACACAGACATGTGCTTTTCACCTTAAGAACAGACAAGCTTCCCAAGCTCTGAGGATCACCTGGGAAGGAATCCCACTGGAGCATTGCAGTGCACCCAAATACCTGGGAGTCACAGTTAACCCTTTCCACACAGGAATTACAACTCGGAACATTGCAAATCACAGCAATACATTTCTAAGCACATAATCACTAACTTTGAAAACTACAAAGCACTTAAAACACACAAAGTGTGGAGAAGAGCAAACCACTGACCACCTGCTGCAATGCAACCTGAGCCCAGCCACATGCACAATGGAGAACCTCCTTGCGGCAACACCAGAGCACTCCAAGTGGCCAGATACTGGTCAAAGGACATTTAATCAACTACCAAGCTTGCAAACTTTGTGTTTTGTCTGTTTGTTTTTTTAAAAATGTAATACAAATGTCTGGTTGCTCCTGACATGATAAATAAATAAATAAATAAATAAATAAATAAATAAATAAATATGAAATCCAGCATATATATCGCATTTGCTGTGTCATACTGTGGGGGTGGTGACGGCCGACAGGGAGCTCTGGCGTGGGCTGGTCTATGAGGTCACGAAGAGTCGGAGACGACTGAACGAATGAACAACAACAACACTGTGGTTTTGTGTCAGTAAAATAATAATAATAATAATAATAATAATAATAATAATAATTTTTTGTCGTGTCAGGAGCGACTTGAGAAACTACAAGTCGCTTCTGGTGTGAGAGAATTGGCCGTCTGCAAGGACGTTGCCCAGGGGACGCCTGGATGATTTGATGTTTTATCATCCTTGTGGGAGGCTTCTCTCATGTCCCCGCATGAGGAGCTGGAGCTGATAGAGGGAGCTCATCCGCCTCTCCCCGGATTCGAACCTGCGACCTGTCAGTCTTCAGTCCTGCCAGCACAGGGGTTTAACCCACTGCACCACCGGGGCTCCATAACAATAATAATAATTATTATTATTATTTTCATTTATTACCTACCTCTACATAAACACCCCTATAATATGTGCATATGAAAGCACAGTTAAAGCATAACCACTGCCTATTTCTCAGCCTGATACTATTTTTCTAAGGGGAGATGCGTAGGGCAAAGCACCCCCTACCAATGGTGGCGGAGAAGATGACGATGCCCAGGACATTCATCTCGCTGTTGCTGCCAGGGAGGGTGCGGTAGGTCATTTCGGGGGCAGGTGTGATCTCCAGCAGCACCGGGCGCTGCACCCCTGGGTTGGCTGCATCCGGCAGGAAATAGATGAAGCTGACTGACTTCCTGGCCGCCTTCGGGTCCTTCGAGGTCTTCACCACCGGCACCAGCACTGTCCGGTACTACAAAGTTAGAGAAAGATTTTATTGGAAGAACTACATTTCTGTATAGGGAAGTCAAGGCTTAGCTGTCGAACTAACTCTCTATGGAGACATCTTGCCTCTCTCCATGCTCACAGAATGGGAACAAAAAAGGCAGTTTTAGCAGATCAGAAGCTTCTTGAGGACAGCAATACAGCCAATAAGCTACAGCCATTTCCAAGAGCAGAGCCAAGCTTGTAAAAAGGTTTTCTTCAAAGAACTACAGATCTAGGTAGGAAAGCAATCTAGCTCAGAGCAGACATCTTGCCTCTCTCCATGCTCACAAGAGAACGACAAAATGGGAGGACCCAGTGGCTTGGTGACTCACCTGTTGGAAGGAGGCCTCAATGAGGTTTGAAGGGAACATGTTCCTGCAAGAAAGAGAAAAAGAAATCATCCTCATCATTGCCATCTTCCAATATGCCTTTCAGCAATCTGAATAATAAATATTATTGGGTTGTTGTAGGTTTTTTCGGGCGATATGGCCATGTTCTAGAGGCATTCTCTCCTGACGTTTCGCCTGCATCTATGGCAAGCACTTCAGAGGTAGTGAGGTCTGTTGGAACTTTCCTAGTTCCAACAGACCTCACTACCTCTGAGGATGCTTGCCATAGATGCAGGCGAAACGTCAGGAGAGAATGCCTCTAGAACATGGCCATATAGCCTGAAAAAACCTACAAGAACCCAGTAATTCTGGTCATGAAAGCCTTCGACAATACATAAATATTATTATTACTGTAGAAACAATCCAGGCAAATCAGCTTGAGAAAACACTACATGTATGTAGTGTGTGCGTGCATATACATTACACTGTTGGAAATTACAACCTTCTTCAAGCTTCCTCTAGTAATTTGTTTGTATATAATCCTGTTGCTTACTTATTGTATGTATGTTCTAGTATGCAGCTTTCTTTCATTTGCTCTATGTTTCCTGAGAAGTTATGGGAGTGACTGCAGACCACATGATTAAGCACTGAGACTGCTCAGACCTCAGACTCCATTTTAGACTCCATCCATCATCTTCAGCCACTGCAGCCTACAATGAAGCATGATGAGAGTTGGAAGGCACATTGTCCACCAAGCCCTAGGCGCAGATGTTGAATCCAAACCCCTGTGGCTGAGGATGATGGGAGTTGCAGTCCAAGAAGGTGGCCCTTGAGAGAGGATGTTATCTGATGAAGTCGAGGAGGGTGTGTGTGTGAGTGCATATATATATATATATACACACACACACACACACTCACACGCATACTATACACTATATAAATAAATGTATATACTGTATGTATGTGTTTATGTATATATGTATATGCTGTATATGTGATATATATGTATATACATTATGTATATACACTATATATACATATGTGTGTATACATGCTATACACTATATATATGTGTGTGTGTATACCCTGTATATATTGCACACTATACGTATACACTATGTGTATGTGTATATACTATGTATATACACTACACTTCACAATACAGATGTAGTTTAGTGTGCATATTTGTAGTGCTTTTTATGTGCTTATGAATTTTAATTGAGGAGAGGAGGGGAAGAAATATATATACACACACATGCACACACTATGTATATACACTATATATTTTATATATATACACACCCACTATATATATACAGTTTGTAAGCCGCATTGAATCCCTTGGGAGATGCTAGCAGGGTACAAATAAAGTTTAATAATAATTATTATTAATAATAATAATAATATACACTATATGTCTGTGTATGTGTGTGTGTGTGTATGGTAAAGGTTTTCCCCTGACATTAAGTCTAGTTGTGTTCGACTCTGGAGGGTGGTGCTCATCTCCATTTCTAAGCTGAAGAGCCAGCATTGTCCGTAGACGCCTCCAAGGTCATGTGGCCATGGGCATGACAGTATGGAGTGCCATTACCTTCCCGGCGGAGTGGTGCCTATTGATCTTCTCACATTTGCATGTTTTCGAACTGCTCGGTTGGCAGGAGCTGGGGCTAACAGCAGGAGCTCACCCCACTCCTGGATTCGAACCTGCTACCTTCCAGTAAGCAAGTTCAGCAGCTCAATGGTTTAATCCACTGCGCCACCGAGGATGGTGCAGCCAATAGAAATGATTGTATTAACTTATTTTTGCTAACTAGTTAAAGAATCTCTATAGACTAATACAAAATATTTTGAACGATTACAAAAGTGTTTTTTTTTAAATATACTGTATAAATGCATATATCTCAGCTTAATTCAGAAAAGGGAGGATAATGCAAACCCAAACCTTGTTGGGCTGCAACTCCCATCATCCTCAGTTACTGCACCTGATAATGAAGCATGATGGGAGCTAGAAGGCGCATTGTCCTCCATGCCGAAGGTGCCAGTGTTGAATCCGAACCCCTTGGAGGGAGGGGAGTGGGCATGGCCTATGGCTGAGGATGATGGGTGTTGGATCCCCACAAGGCAGCCCTGGGGGTTACCTGATGAGGTCGAGGAGGGCATCGGCGGAGCTGAGCACCACTTTGCCCACGGCGTAGTCCTCCTTCTGGGCGGCGGCCCCCGGATGGATGCTGATGACTAGGACGATGCCAGTTGTGACGGCTAGGAAGGTGGTCCACAGGTAGTAGGTGATGGTGATCACTCCCATCTTCCCACACACCTTGGAGTCCATGGTGGCCAAGCCTGACATCAGACTGTGTACAGACAGGGAGAAAGAGAGGAGAGACAGGTCGTTCCCTGAGTTACATACATCCAACTTACAAACATCTCACTTAGTTATGAACAATGAGGCTGAGACTACAGAAAGGGAGAGGAATCTCTCCCTCATAGAATCATAGAATCCTAGAGTGCGAAGAGGCCTCAATGACCATCCAGTCCAACCCCATTTTGCCAAGAAGCAGAAAAATCCATTCAAAGCACCCCTGACAGATGGCCATCCAGCCTCTGCTTAAAAGCCTCCAAAGAAGAGCCTCCACCACACTCCAGGGCAAAGAGTTCCACTGTGAACAGCTCTCTCTCACACACAGTCAGGAAGTTTTTCCTCATGTTCAGGTGGCATCTCCTTCCTTTCCTGTAGTTTGAAGCCATGGCTCCATTGCGTCCTAGTCTCCAGGGCAGCAGAAAGGAAGTCTGCTCCCTCCTCTCTATGACTTCCCCTCACATATTTATACTTTACATGGCCATAATGCCTCGGAGAGAAGGAAGGGAGGGAGGGAAATCCACTCTTGGAAGAGATATATATTATTCTCAGGGGGAAAAGGTGCCTCCAGTGAAGTTTTATCCCCAATCCTTGTTTCCACAACAAGCCATTTTTTTGCAAAAAGTCAGGAAGGGAGACCTTCTGAACAAAGGCACAGGCAGCAAAGGACCATCCCTCCATACACACAAACACACACACACACATATATTTCCATCCACACTCACAATGTTTTATATACACACACATGTATGGGGTGCGGTTGAGGCAAGAAGGGCTGTCACAGCTGATCTCTGGGCCACCTGAGCAGCTCAGCCGCCTTGGCCGAAAGGTGACTTTGGGAGATGGAGCGGTGGCGCATGACCCCGGGTGACACACACGCCTCTGCACGCGTGGTCCCTGGCTAGGACTCACCGCCACCGCCCCCGCACATGCAGTGACACGTGCAGAGGGAGGGCAGGCAAGAAGGACGAGGGGGAAGGGCCAAGGAAACACGACCCAGAGATATAGGGGAGAGATAGATGAGATATACAGGAAACATAGCTTAGAGTTAAAGGAAATAATGGTCAAAACATAAAGGAACTATAGCCAAGAGATAAAGGAACCATGCCCAAAACTTAAAGGGAGCATGGTTGAGATATAGAAGAAACACGCCCAAAACATAAAGGAAATATCATCATCATCATAATCATCATCATCATCATCATCATCATCATTTAATAACTTATTAATCGCCCTCCATCCAAGAATGCTCCAGGCGATTTACAGCTAAATTACAAAAGATAAAATACATACATACAAAAATTAAAAATCAACAGAGATCTAGTAAAAATATGACCAAAACATAAAGGAAACGTGTATAAAACATTGAGGAAACAAGGGCAAAACATAGAGGAAACATAGCTGAGAGAAATAGGAAAGATGGACAAGACAGGAAACAAAGATGGCCAAGATACAGAGAAAACGTGGCCAAAACATAAAGGAAACATGGCCAAAAACAGAGAAAACATGCTCAAAATCTATATATATAAATGCTCTGTGCATAATGAGTACCTTAAAAACAAAAGAACCAATGAATAAAATCACACCAAATTTGGCAACAAAGCGTCTCACAACACAAGGAATGACCATCACTCAAAAAATTATGATTTTGTCATGTGGGAATAGTAGTTGCTGGGATTTATAGTTCACCTACAATCAAAGAGCATTCTGAACTCCATCAACGATGGAATTGAACCAAACTTGGCACACAGAACTCCCATGACCAACAGAAAATACTCAACGCCATCCAGTCCAACTCCCTTCACCAGGGCAAGAACACCAGGGCAAGAGTTGTAGTTCACCTACATCCAGAGAGCATTGTGGACTCAAACAATGATGGATCTGGACCAAACTTGCTACAAGAACTTAATACGCCCAAATATGAACACAGATGGAGTTTGGGGGAAATAGACCTTGACATTAGGGAATTGTAGTTACTGGGATTTATAGTTCACCTACAATCAAAGAGCGTTCTGAACCCCACCAATGACAGAATTGGGCCAAACTTCCCACACAGAACCCCCATGACCAACAGAAAATACTCAAGGCCATCCAGTCCAACTCCCTTCACCAGGGCAAGAAAACGTAATCAAAGTCCTCCTGACAAAGAGCCATCCAGTCATAGATATAGATAGATATGATTCACACACACACACAAATATAGTATCATAGATTTGAAAGGGACCCCTGAAGAAGGACAATTATATGTTGCACGTTCCAGAGTAGGCAAACCAGACAATCTCCACATCAATGCTGACAAAGATACAGCAAGAAATACTGTTTACCCACAAGCAGGAAGAAATTAAATATATTAGAAACCAACACTTTCTCGTTACTTTATTTTCCAGATTAACAAACTGGGCCACAGCAACCCATGGCAGGGGACAGCTAGTATTGTATAAAGAAAACAGCTGAGAGAAAAAGGAAAGATGGCCAAAACATAAAAGGAACAGATCCGAAATATAGAGAAAACATGTCCGAAACATAAAGGAAACATGTCCGAAACATAAAGGAAACATGTCCAAAATAGAGGAAACATGGTCAAAATATAAAGGAAACATGGTCAAAACATAAAGGAAATATGGTCAAAACATAAAGGAAATATGCTCAAAACATACAGGAAATATAGCCAAGAGCTAAAGGAAAGATAGCTGAGAGCTAGTGGGCAGGTAATAAAATTATTATCTATACACATAATAAAAGTGAAAATGTGTATGTGTGTGTATTTGGCAGGGGTGTCCACTTCCACAGACAAGCTCCTGCCTCCACAAGCCGCTATAGCTCCCACCACTCAGGAGACACCAAAGCCCTCCCTCCAATTACATTGTAGGTTATAGTGAGTGCCATGAACATGTCCAAGAGAACTGCCAGTATCCTCCACAAAGACCACAGTGTCCACCACCAAAATGAAGGCTTTCATTTGGGGACAATTCCATCCTAGATTTTATGTGTTTCCTTCACCACAGACATCCCAGTGTTTCTGACTCTCTCCACTGGTGTGGAATTTGCATGACCCTCTCCCTTAACCCTTTCCTACTCTTTTCTGCAGGGCACAGCAAACAGAGGAATTTATCAGCAATGGAACGAAAAAAGTACTGGAGGTCTTTGGAGCGATTTATAGGAGTTGTAGTTCACTTACATTCAGAGCGCACTATGAACCCAAATAATGATGGATCTGGACGAAACTTGGCCTGCATACCCAATATGCCCCAATTTGAATACTGATGGGCTTTGAGGGGAATTGGCCTAGGCATTTTGGAGTTGTAGGTTCACCTGTAATCAAGGAGCACTCTGAACTCCACCAAAGATGGAACTGGACCAAACCTGGCACACAGAGCCCTCATACCAGCAAAAAATACTGGAAGTGTATTGTCGAAGGCTTTCATGGCTGGAATCACTAGGTTCTTGTGGGTTTTT